CTTTTTCATTTCTAACTTTTAACTTTGTAATCTTAAAATCTTAATAAAATACTATTAAAAAGAAAAATGAAAGAATAATGAAAAAATTAAAGAAAAAAAGAGAGCCTCTCCTTGATGCTGTGGGGCAGAAAGAGGAGTGAGTTCTTTGGGAATTTGGGAAGAACCCCAACTTGGGATTTCTGAAATTTCTGTATTGGAATCTTCCAAATCATACAATCATGCTTTTTGAATTACAGGAGTTGGATGTAGCTCTGGGGGAGCCCAAGTGGCTGGATGTGATTGAGCGAGATCTCCACCGGCAGTTTCCATTCCATGAAATGTTTGCTTCTCGAGGAGGTCACGGGTAAGCTGCTCTCTCCATCCCCTGTCTTTTTTGAATGCTCCTTCCCACTCTAGAATTGTGGCCTGTTCCTGAGCACATGGGCCCACGGCCTGGCTTGAACTTTTCTGGTACAAGTGCACGCGCGTGAGTGGGGGCCTCCTGTTAAAGGCAAACGGAGAGCTGTCTTCTCCTTCTTTCAAAACTGGACAGAGTCTGCTAGCGTGGAGAGCGATTCAGGACAGATAAAAGGAAGACGGCCTTTGCCCGGCTTATGATCAGGCAGTGGAATTTGCAAGCCAAGGATTTAGAAAGTAGCTTATTCAGATTCATGGCAGCAAAACCTGTTGGTGGCTACTAATCTTCCCAAGCCTGGAGGCACCATGTCTTTTAATGTCAGTTTTAGGAACCCAAGTGCAGGAGTGCAACTGTGTTCCTAGCTTGTGTGTGGCCGCCCCATCGATATCTTACTGGTCAGGGTGAACACAGAATGATGGACTAGACCAGTGTTTTTCAACCTTGGCAACTTTAAGATGGGTGGACTTCAACTCCCAGAATTCCCCAGCCAGCCATGTCCATAAGCACAAACTACAAAGCTTTGGTGCTACGCCTGGTACAGGTAGTCCACATTTAGCAATTGCCTCATTTAGTGACCATTCACAATTACAAGGGTGATGAAAAAGTAACTTTACGACTAATCCTTGCATTTACGACATGCTGGCTGGGGAATTCTGGGAGCTGAAGTCCACCCATCTTAAAGTTGCCAAGGTTGAAAAACACTAGACTAGACAGCCTTGTGGCTACTTTTATGAAGATGGGGTGATGGTCCAAACATGACATCTTGTTGGGGAGGAATGAATGTGCTCCCAAGCTTTTCTCCAGAGCTTTGTCATGGATTGACAACCTTAACAATGTTGGGTTCAGGAATCTCCAGGCAAATGCTACTCAGCTCCTCTTGACTGGGGCTTGTGAGAGAGCCGTGATATCAAGGATGTTCCCTGCCTGAGGTTCCCAGGCAACCCTCAAGACTCAGGTTGCCCTGACCACTTAGGAGTGGCTGGTGAAGTAAGAGTGCAAGTCTCAACATGCTGGGCAATCTTTGTTCTGCTGAATTTTAGTTCCTTGCCATTTAAATCGTTGGCACCCTGCTATTCCATATGGATAGTTCAAGGTGACTTTCAAGAGGAATAAAATTGGAAATGTTAATACACAGCCCCCTCAGCCCAGCATTAGGACAGCTTTAAACAGAGCTACAGGTCGAAACTTCACAACAACTGAGTTTTATTTATTTTTTAACCCCTGTAATTTGCATGGAATTACGGTAGGCAAACATTGAGAAAGAAGAAATCCCTTCCCAAAAATTGCAGCCAAAGGCCAACCTGAAGGTTCAACTGTGGAGAGTTTAAGCGTGACGATGGAAGAAGACTTTGGGGTCTGAAATGGAAAAAGACCCTTTTGTGCAACTTAGATTTATGTATTTCTTGGAATCGCAGCGTGTAGATTATTTGCAAACAGCAGTTAATGATTTGGGGTGGGATGAACACGCTGGGCCTTTCAGATTGAGATCCCAGCAGCACAGCCTTGGAGGAGAGACGGTGGGAGCTGTTGTCCAAAATTTCTGGAAAGCAGCTGTTGACTCCTGCCTGGTTCAGATTAGAAAAAAGCAAAAAAAGACTAGCAAAGAGCTATTTGGGGAAATAGCATGAGAATGACATACACAGTTCAGCGTAAGCAAAAGTGGGATGGGCGGAGCAATTGTTGTGGAGTAGACCTGTGTGAGCGCTGAATCTTCAGGAAAAAGATGATGGAGTTGTGGTGGATGACTCAGTGAAAATGTTGCCCAAACATGTAAAAGTGAGGTCTCCTTCAAGCTGAGCTTGACTCCGGATGAGTTCATGGGCCCATCCTTGAAGGTTTTCTTGGCAACCATACTGCTTCTGCCACAGTTGCCTTCCGAGAGGCTTTTTCAACTTCCTGCTCTCGCCTACATCCTGGGGTTTCTTAGTGGTTTCTCATCCAAGAACTAGCCAGGCCTGTTCCTGATTAATTTCTGGGTCCAGGCAAGGCACTGTTAAAGGGGGGGGGGGGCTTTTATGAAGACCCCAAATCATTAGGAAAGGAATCAGGGGAAAAAAACCCACCCTTGCAGTTCCCTAATTCAGTGTTTCTCCATCTTAACAACATTAAGACATACGGACCTCAACTCCCAGATTTCCCCAGCGTTAAGTCCACACGTCTTAAAGTTGCCAAGGTTGAGAAACACTGCCCTAATACATTTATAAAAATTATGTTACAAGCCCATGCCTGAAACCCTGGAGCACATTTCATGTGGTCAATGCGAGGGGTGTGTGACCTATCCAAGACCCCGTTCAAAATGTTGGTTCAATTCAAGGAGTGTCTTGGTTCAAAGTGTTGCTTTGTGGAGTCGGATTGTAGTCCCACCGCCCCCCGTGTTTGCTTTGTTGTATGCTTGGTCCAAAATTTAGATTTTAGATTTTTGTATTTTCTGTTTGCTGTCCAATAATTTTCTTTGGGGTTTTTTTGTTTATTTGTTTTGTTTTTGATTTCTTGTGGGTTTGTGCTGTATGCCACCCAGAGTCACACTGTCTGAGCTGGGCAGCCTCATTAACCTATGAATGAATGAATGAATGAATTAATGAATGAATGAATGAATGAATGAATGAATGAGGGTGGAAAAATACGTGCTTAGGTGTGCGCAAACATATTAAATCATTGAATGGATTGGAAGATTTTGGGTTCAATTTGGTGCAGCACTTGGTTCTGTAATTCTGTAATTTGATTCTCCTCGGTTCAGCCGCCTTCCAAGCTCGTCTTTGTGCAGCCCTGATCAATGCCCCTTTTTGTCCCAGGCCTCTTTGAGACAGCAGCCCCGTAAGACTGGCTGATCTCATCCCAAAGTGGTGGATGGATCGGGGCCAAGATTGGGGCCACTTCTCTAAGGGCAGGGCATTTGTGGGGCCAGTCCATGGCTCGAACCCAGAACTTCCAAAGTTGGAGACCCATCCCAGCTACCGGGCACACCAACTTCTTGGTGTACCGCCTGGACTTTACTTGTGAACAGTTGACCTCCTCCTGCCTGACCTTCCCTCATTTCTGTCCAACCATTTGCTTTTTTTTCCCCCCAGGCAGCAAGATTTATTCCGCGTGCTGAAAGCCTACACTCTCTATCGGCCAGAAGAAGGCTATTGCCAAGCCCAGGCCCCGATTGCTGCCGTGCTGTTGATGCACATGCCGGCCGAGGTGCGCTACGCTCTCTTGCAGGCTCTCCGTTCCGTATCCTTCCCTCTGGAGGCGGCGCGTGTCCCTCCTGTCTCTCTCCGGAGGGCTGCTGCTTCTGGTTTTGCTAGTCCGTCCTCCGTACAGTCGTTCTCTCAGCTGAGGGTGAAAGCACCCAGGACTGATTTCCTGCTGCAAAAATAAAAGCTTGTGGAGTGGGTGCAAAGAACTGGGAATTGGAGGGAGGCTGTGCCGTTCAGGAAGTTCAGGCAACATAGAAGCAACGCAGACGGGCTTCGTGTGGACCTTGGGTTTTGTATTTAAATCCTGCCTTTAGACCAGCATATCTCAACCTTAGCAACTTTCAGATAGGTGGACTTCGTCTCCCAGAATTCCCCAGCCAGCATACGTCTACGTTTGGTCTAAAGCATTCCCCAGCCAATGTTGAAATATGTGAACAATAGGAGTAGGATGGATAGATGGATGGACAGACAGACAGATGATAAAGACAGGACTGGATAGATCAGTGTTTCTCAACCTTAGCAACTTTAAGACGTATGGACTTCAACTCCCAGAATTCCCCAGCCAGCATATGTCTATGTTTTGTCTAAACCATTCCGCAGCCAGTGCTGAAATATGTGAACAATAGGAATAGGATGGATGGACAGAAAGTTAGACAGATAGATGATAAAGGCAGGACAGGTTAGATCAGTGTTTTTCAACCCGGAATTCCCCAGCCAGCATGGGAATTGAAGTCCACACATCTTAAAGTTGCTAAGGTTGAGAAACACTGCTTTAGACAAACCCTCAAATGTCCGGTGTGGCATGCCTTGTGCTCCTCTTCCTGCTTCCCTTAATTAGGAAGTTGCCCTCAGAGACACTTGAGGATCTCTGTCCTAGTAGGTCTGGTCCTGCATTTGGCCAACGGCTGCTTGACTTTCGGCAGATGAACCTGAGCAAAACATCTGTGCAAATGCAGATGGGCAAAACCTTCAAGATTGCTGATTGTCTTCTCCACATGGTGTGGGGTGATTGAAATGGGGGGGGTGGAGGAGCAAGGATTTGTGGGTGGCCCATCTCCTCAATGTTACCTGGCAGGACGTTGTGTATGGTGCAAAAGGGAGAGACAGTATCTGTATCTGCTTCCCCCGGCAGAGTTGTCTTGGTGGGAAAGCGAGGAGGGTGCAGATGATGAGAAGTCCATCTGGGCAGCCCCCTCCTCTCCTTCCTCTCCCCCTCCCCAGGGCGCCCTTAATCCTGTTGGGCTAATCAGCCCCGTGCTGTAGAATGATGTCTTCTGTCTTTGTCTTCCTCCTCGCAGCAAGCTTTCTGGTGCCTTGTGCAAATCTGCGAGAAATACCTTCCTGGCTACTACAGCGAGAAGCTGGTGAGTGTTTCTTCCAGGCCACGATAAAGGTCTGCGGTTGTGCTGTGCTCAGGAGAGAGAGGAAGAAGTGGAGCCATGAGGAAGGAGCGGGGTGGCGGACCAGCGCCGCAGGTGGTGCCAGCCCTTCTGCGGCCTGCTTGCTCAGCCTGATCCAGGATCTCCTCTCTCCTTCCCTGCAGGAGGCCATTCAGCTGGATGGCGAGATTCTCTTCTCTCTGCTGCAGAGAGTCTCCCCGCTGGCCTACAAGCATCTTAGCAAGGAGAAGATCGACCCCATCCTGTACATGACGGAGTGGTTTATGTGTGCTTTCTCCAGGACGCTGCCCTGGAGTTCGGTGCTGCGGGTCTGGGATATGTTCTTCTGTGAAGGTACTGGTGGTCCCCCTTCAGGTGGCCTTCAGGGAGGGAATGCATGCTGGTTACCTCTGGGGGATACCTCTGGAGAAGGGTTGCTGTCCAGCACTGGAGTCATGGCTTCTGGCAGCCCATGGGTGGGCTACCAAGTGGGATTCCTGTTTGGAGGAACATACGGTCCTCCCTGATATCTCATGAGCCTTTGCCTCAGGATCTACTGGGCTTCGCTGTAGTATCTGCTCTTCCCTACTATTTATAAATTATACTATTTATAAACACAGCATCTTGTGCTTCTGGACCAGCGTTTCTCAACCTTGGGAACTTTAAGATGTGTGGACTTCACCCCCCCCCAACTCACCCTTGCAACCGCTGCGGGCGGCGGGGATTGGGTGAGGGAGGGCCGGCCTCTTCGACTCACGCCCCCCCT